AGCAATTGTGCTTGGTTGGCGTGGCCTGGGTCTGGTGGTGGGGCCCAATGTGATATATTTTCATGCGGCCCAAAATCCCTGGCGGCGCCCCTGTGGACGAGTCACAGTGAGACCCTGCAATAATTTGTCAATTAGACTTGATGAACGCACATGAGGCTGCCATCAGACATGCTGCCATGTATTCAGTTGCTGAAAGTTTCAGTACTGTCGAAAAAACTGAGGGTTTTAACATGTAATGAATTTAATGAATGTTTGAGTTGATTGTTGCAGCAAACAGGAAATAATGGAAATGTTCAGCTGTGGTTTTCAGATCAATCATAACATCATTTTTATGATTTCTGGAAGTGGGATTGATGTGTGGCTGGAGTGATAGATCTGATTAAATTAAAATTAATAACTTATTCCAAGTCCAATTTTCTTCGGCCAAAGATGTCTTTGGTTATCTTATTACCATTGCTCAAAGGAACAATACGTTCGTATTTACAATCTTGTATTGCATCAAAAATAAAAGGATAGCTAAAAATGCAACTGTCAGCTGTTCCCATGAAGACACCTCACTGAATTGTTCCTACTTAATACTTTGCCTCTGCAGCCATGGCCTGATTTAATACATTCCTCGACAAAATACATCTCCACCAGTGAGCCACGTGTTGCACCAGGTCTTTTTCTAACAATGAGTCGATGCATAACTGTTCATTTTGAGTCTATCCCAATCACAAGCCTTTTTACATCTATAAAGCTCAATGATTAACAAATTGTATCTGCTTTGCTTGAGTTGCGACATGTGTCTTTGAGAAAGTGACAGAACTACATCTTGTACTTGCACTATCTCAGCTTTTTGGGTAACACTTTATATTAAGGTACAAAAATTCACCATCAAAAATTGTTGTTGTTAATTGCATATTAGCAGTATATTGGCTCTTTATTTGTCATTATAAAACACTTATTAATGCCTTTTTCTACATGACCATATTCTACAAGTAATATACTGCTAATATGCATGTTAATTAACAACTAGTTGGTGGTTAATTTGTGTACCTTAATATAAAGTGTTACCAAAATGACTTGTGTCTAAGAGAAAGTGACAAAACTACATCTTGTACTTGCATTTCAGCTTTTTTGACATTGGACAGATCCGTTCTTACCCAATCTTGTCGCACGACTGATAACAATTAGTGTGTTTCTCAAAATGTCAACCTAAATATTCAAGAGTTATTAAGTGAAATACAATTTTGGATTTGGCATTTCATATAACAATTATATCAAGATTGAACCTCATATTAAAGAACAGAAAATGAGAAACAGTTTTGCAACTTTTCTGGCTGGAATCAGAGCATCTTTATTAATAAAACACTTTTTAAAGGCAAATGTAATTTTAATTAATATACATTTGTCCATACACTTGACATTGGATTCCCCCAACCTGAATCATGGATGAAATATTTACATTGATTCAAATTTCCTGAGCTGCTATCATCAGCATTTACAACAATAAAGATAAACCCGCTCTACGCTCTCTGACCAATCAGCTGACAGAGAAACCTACAGCTAGTGAACACAAACCATAGCATCTAGCTGCTACAGACCCAGGTGTTTTCTCTGTAATTGTTGAAGACTAGGCCAGAGTTAAAATAAAACTTGGACTTATCTTCATCAGATGATATAACGACCACTACAGAGGGAATAGCAAATGGCCAATAAAGGTGCTGTGGCTATTGCTATTATCAAAAATCCAGGTGTTCGCTCGGAGTCTCATGCACACCTGGTCTCCCACTTCAAGCTGCAGAGTCATGCCGTTGGTTGCTGTCTCAGGGCGGTTTCCAGCTGCATGGTTGTACACAGTAACCATCTGCTCTCCATTCTTCATCAGACGCAGCCCCATTGGTTTAGATGATCCATTATGACCAGAGAAGCTGAAGTAATAGACTCCTTTGACTGGAGCAGTGAAAATACCTGGGGATGAAAAAGAGAGAAAGTTAAATTTGTTGTGCTTTGGATTTTATCCATAGCAAAAGAGAGGAATTTACACTATTTACTAAATGAAACTATGTTTGAATTAACACACATCAGCTTGATAAGTTTACCTGTTCCAGGGTTGTATGCGCCGGTGTTTGTGTAGACCTTCTTGTAGGTCAGTGTGATGTCAACGTTGAAGGGTCCAACATTTCCAATGGGGCCTAAAGATGCTCCAAATGCCACACGCTGACCTTGAAAGGTGTCATTAAACATTTGGTTTATCTTAACTTCCAAAACCTGAAAACAATTTGCAAGCTATTCAAAGACGAAAGACAAATGTAAAGCTTTGTTACTTTATATTCTTACCTCGGACTTCTCCCCTCAGATCCTCCAATTGCTTCTCAGTGTTTTTCAGTTTGGCCTCCAGCTGTCTTAAGATGACAAAAAATTGGCAGCAATTGTTCTGACTCCCTATAATGTCACCTGCACAGTCACGAGCTGACTCAATGTTGGGGGTCCCTGAAGCACTGCTCCCTCCTTCTTGGTCATCCAGCTGCTGCACCTCAGCTGCACTAAGGTAGAACAGGGATAAAATAAACACAGCCACAAAGGTCTCCATCTTTCACTGTCTTCTGCTTGTCTTCTGCTTGTCTTCTGCTTGTCTTCTGCTTGTCTTCTGCTTTTCTAACTCTCCCCACTGGTATTTATATACGAGACAAAGAAGGTAATGCCCCTTGAATTTACCAGAAAATAAAAGACCTTTTTCCCATCATCTGATGAATCATAACAAATAAACTGATATCAAGAATATGATAAGAGAGTACCTGGCCAAAGGTGTCTTTGTTTATTACCTTATTTACCTTTGTCAAAACAATCATTGTTTTGTATTTACCATCTTCTTTTTGCTTTAGAGATAAGGAAAGGCTGGCTAGACATTTCTATATTTTTTTATTGTCAGCATTAATCATTAAAACTGTATCCTCAACTAATTGCCTTTGCAACTAAAGCCTCATTCAAATTCACTGAACACAAATATAAAGGCAACACTTTTGTTTATGCTCCTATTTGTCATGAGCTATCTACACAAAAGGCCTATTTCTTTCAAATTATGTCCACAAATGTGTCTAAATCTGTGTTACTGAGCATTTCTCCTTTGCCCAGATAATCCATCCACCTCACAGGTGTGGCATATCAAGATACTGATTCAACAGCATGATTATGGCAGAGGTGTGCCTTAGCCTGGTCTCAATAAAAGGCCACTCTAAAATGTGCACTTTTATCACACAGCACAATGCCACAAATGTCGCAAGTTTTGAGGGAGTGTGCAATTGGCATGCTGACTGCAGGAATGTTCACCAGAGCTGTTACCTGTGAAACTAATGTTCATTTCTCTACCATGAGCTGTCTCCAAAGGCGTTTCCGAGAATCTGGCAATCCAACAGGCCTCACAACCCAAGACCAGGACCTCCACATCTTTGCCTGCAAGATCCTCTGAGACCAGCCATCCGGACAGCTGATGCAACCATCTGTTTGCATAACCAAAGAATTTCTTTCCAAACTGTCAGAAACCGTCTCATGGGAGCTCATCTGCATGCTCGTTGTCTTCACCGGGGTCTTGACCTTGCTGCAGTTAGTCTTGATAACTGACTTGAGTGGGCAAATGCTCACCTTCGATGGCGTCTGTATCCGGTTTTCACTGTACAGGGAAGATGGCATGCAGCGTGTATGGTGTCATGTGGGTGAGAAGCTCGCTGATGTCAACGTTGTGAATCAAGTGGCCCATGGTGGCGGCAGGGTAATGGTATGGGCAGGAGAATGTTATTGACAGCAAACATAGGTGCATTTTATTGATGGCATTTTGAATTTGAGATACCATGACGAGATCCTGTGGCCCATTGTTGTGCCACTCATCCACCGCCATCCCCTTATGTTGCAGCATGATAATGCACGGCCCCATGTTGCAAGAATCTGTACATGATTCCTGGAAGCTGAAAACATCCCAGTTTTTGCACAGCCTGCATACTGTACTGACCGGACATGTCACCCATTGAGCATGTTTGGGATGCTCTGGATCGGCATATATGACAGCGTGTTCCAGTCCCGCCAATATCCAGCAACTTCGCACGGCTATTGAAGAGAAGTGGACCAACATTTGTGACGACCCTTGCTTTGAT